AGACATGAATACCTGGCAGATTTACAACCGCAAACCAAACAATGTCAAGATTCAGTAAATTTCACAAGCAAATATAAATCTAATTGCTAATCTCACAACTTCAAAAAATATCGTTCTTTACAACAATTATAGGGATACAAGCTGTCAATATTAAGGATTCCTAAAGTCTAGTACCACGAAGTTATCTTCAGAACATTAAAGATCAATGTCAGAATTACAAACAAACCAAGTTTGAAGCTTCCGTTAAACAGACATACCACAAATCAGTAAAATAAGTTATTTGGTGAATAATACTTTAGTCGCTTAGGGGGCGGATGAAATACGCGACTGATTTCTTGAAACTGTTGAATTATAACTTAGTTTTTAATCCAAGTTAACTCTCAAATCTAGTTTCTACTAACAATCGGACGTCCGTTTTCTCATGTCACAGTTGTAACAGACGACACAGTGACCGTAGTGGACTTTGATGTTTTGAATTATTTGAATTTTAGTATGAACTAAGAATCCCAGAATTAACGCAATCGAGTCAAGAAGTACTAGACAAGCACGAACGAATGCATTGTATTTGGAATTCGAAATTAAGCATTCAACAAGCACAAAGGTATCATTAGTTCATTCAAACACCACATTCGCCACAGCTTAAATTAGAGTCTGAGTGTTTGTAATCGATTGTATGTCTTCTTAAGTTCATCCTGTATCTGTCCGACATTGTATTGGACAAAAACTATGTAGTATCTAGAATGTGCTCATTAGTATTAGAATTAACAAACAAAATTGGAACAGACTCACCTGCCTCCTGGGATTGTGTAATCAGCATGTCGGTTGTGTACAGAAACCGCTGATACCTAGAATTTGAACCATAAACTAAAACTATCCCTCCCTCACGAAATAATGTTAAATCTTTATATTCGCAATTTATGAATGATGTGGCTTCATTTAAAACATATTTCTCACATTGGGTAGAGTAAAAATTAGAAGTGACTTCGTGATATGGATAAACAGCAGTTGATATGAAATCATCTGAATTGTAATCAAAATCGAGCTCATTTAGTACTTGTGCTTCGCACTGAACAAGTTTCCCACAAGAAACAAATGCATTATGAGGACAAAATAATATTTGATATGACATCAAGATTTGATTCTTCTGAGATAGCTTCCTCAAATTTATTAGGATTGGCATTGGAGAGCATAGGATCGTTAGAAAAACCAACATCCATCAAAATTACATCAGGTTTTCGAACACAGTTATGTTCACTCAACATATTTCCTCAGATTTGCAAGGAATTTCGTTAGAAATAAGTGAATCACTAGGAAAAACCAAATCTGGTACAATAACACGAGAAATCTGACAAGTTGATTGATTAGGAACTGTTGTCTCGCAAGAATTCGGAATTTCATTTAACTCTGAACAGCCATATGACTCTACACTGTCTATTGCAATCATCGATAAAGATAGATGATCATTAGGAACACTGGACTTAATAGAATCAGAATTAAAAGACTTAATATTAGTTACAGCATGATGAACAATAGTATTACAAACTGACTGAATATGTCCAATATCAACACATTTAAAGCACTAATAATTACGAAATTTACATGAGTTAAAAAATTATAACTTGCCACAGGACAAACATTGACCAGACTTGTGCCCATCTTCGTGAACTACATCGCAACTCCTCAATGAATTAGCTGCATAACCTTGAGTATAAACTGGGTTGGGATGACGTAATGCAGTGGAATTTTTCATATCCTAATGAATCATTTTACTAAATCTTCCTCCTTTACGACATTCGAAATTTGTATAGTGAACATAGTCTAGCAGTAGATCCTTGAGAGCTGTACAAGGAAGCAAAATGGGCTTTTCCGGTAAAGCCAGAGTTTTTTATAATCTATATACTTCTTTTCCGATGAATGTGAGGAAATGTTCTACAATATTAACATCCTCATCATCTTCTTCGGTCATAGCCCAGATTTCGAACCTTTCAAAGTAATCCTCAAGAGCTCCAGAAGTTGAATGAATATCTAACTTTTCCATCGCAGGCTCCATCGCGACGCCAATATAATGTTTCGAATTATTTGAATTGTAGTATGAACTAAGAATCCCAGAATTAACGCAATCGAGTCAAGAAGTACTAGACAAGCACGAACGAATGCATTGTATTTGGAATTCGAAATTAAGCATTCAACAAGTACAAAGGTATCATTAGTTCATTCAAACACCACAAGGACGCTCCTCACAATTATGTTTAGAAGTATCGTGTAACAGAACGTAGTGTTAAAGTTGCAACGACTGTCGGACAGAGTGAAGAGTTTCAGTGCACCAAAAGCACGGCGTTGGCAGAATACTTGAAGGCCAGTGGAGAAGGCAGTTCATATTGCGGAACACACCGGGAGATGCAAATAGACGATTGAAGACTATCTGTATGTATTGTGTAAATACATTGTAACTTCTCGTATCAAAGATGCATACCTGAAGCCCATTGTAATGTTCTGTATTACGAGTTTACAAACATGTTATTTTTAGTCACAGAAATAAAATCAGTTCTTCAGTTCAATTATTTAGGTCTAGTATTCTACTCAACGGCTAATGTAAGGAACATATGCTCAAAAAATTAAATCGGGAATCGCACTCACAAACCATGGATGTATTTAGTGATGCAACTGATGTATTTCCTGTTGAAGTAAAGAGTAGTTCTAAGGTGAAGGAAGAGATTAACAAAATCAATAATAAGGTAAACTTCGTGTTCCTTAATCCTGGACAATGCTTTTTGTGCGGTATCTTCCAAATCGGTGGATTTCGCATTTCCACGAAGTTCGTCGGCTAGAGGTTTCATAAAGGAAGCGCAGTTCGGTATCAACCGTCCATAGAAACTTACAAGGCTGTTAAATGTTCGTAACTGCTTAATGGCGGTCGGTTCTGGGTAATTCAAAATAGCCGCCACTCTGGTTTTAGAGGTTGGTTTCCTTGAACATCAATAATGTGTCCAAGGAAATCTAGGGAGTCAGTTCCGACTTGACATTTCTGAATGTTTACAGTAATCCCGTGATTTTGTAGTCGTTCAAAGGCAAAGTCTGGATGCTGGAGATGGGATTCTCTGTCCAGACTTGTAATCAAGCAGCCATCAACATACGTATGTATGAAGTTGAGGCCTCGAAAAACATCATCGATGAACCTTTGGAATGTTTGGGCAGCATTTCTTAGGCCGAAAGGCACGAGCGAAAATTTGTAAAGGCCGAAGGAAGTTATAATAGCAGTTTTTGGAATATCGTCAGTGGTCATGGGAATTCGGTTATAAGCTTTAACCAAGTCGATTTTCGAAAAGACAATTGTACCTTTCAAGGTAGCTGTCAAGTCGCGAATGTGGGGCAACGGGTAACGATCGGGAACGGTTTTCGCGTTCAGTCGCCGGTAGTCTCCAGTTGGTCTCTAGTAGTTGTTGTCCTTCTTAGGGACCATGTGCAAGAGTGATGCCCATGGGCTGCTTGATGTCCGAGTGATTCCTAGATCTATCATATGATTAAGTCCGTTTTAAGCCAACCTCAGCTTTTCGGGAGCCAGTCGGCGCGCTTTCGAGAATACAGGAGGTCCTGTAGTCGTGATATAATCTGTAACATTGCTGGTTACACATGACGATTTCTATTGCGTTTGGTATATACCAGAATAGTTATTGAGTAATGGTTGATATAATAGGCCTATCGTGTGCCTACGTGTGACAGGAGATGATCTGCAACCGGAAAAAGAAGTTACGCACACAGATAAGTTGGTTTTTCTATCTATTAGCCTCCGTTTGCGTGTATCGATGAGTAGATTGTGGTGTTGTAGCAGGTTTTTATTAATGATTGACATAGAAGCATCTGCAATAACAAAAATTCAGTGGATGGATTTGAGTAAACTCACATTAAAGTAGACTCATCAATTACCATATGTGGCGATCCGTTTTCCCTTTGCCGCCTCTAAGTTTAAAACAGATTCGTGAAACCGGCCGTTAGAATCTGCCGGAAGAACATCAGCTTCTGCATCAGTGTCGACAAGGTAGCGAACCTTTGTAATCACATCAGTGACGTATAACAGATAGATATGTTCGCCGGTTAAGGTTGCCGATAACGCGTGCTGTCTGGGATGATTCTCGAAACATTTTTTATGTCAATCGGTTTGGAGTTCTGAAAACTTCAGGATTTTCTTCAATTTCGGTATTTTCCGTACTGATTATGATACCAGCAGCAGTCGGAGTTAACTGTCTCTCGTGGTCTAGAGACACCGTTTATGTGAAGGACTCATTCGAGGGATTTGTGATTGTTTACGAATACGGACGTAACCTTTGAGAGTGACAGAGTGCCGTAACGTCGTTTTATGTCGTTTGAGGTTTTTCTTTTTCACATCGAGCTCACCAATGAAGATGCCGCAAGTATTCAGAGTTCGATAACATTTTAGCCAGTAACATCTGTAATTGAACGGTGCCCACTCACTGAAATCAAATGTCAGAAGAGGTGCGAAGATATATTTGATAGAATATCGTTATATCGAGAAGTGACTAATCTAAGCTGACTAGTGGTTGGAGGAGATGTGAAGCGCAGAGTACCCACTTGTGATATGGTGCGGATGTGTGACTGAGAGCCTTTAGTTAGGTGAGTCGAAGACTTACAGAGTTATTTATTTTGGGATTTTATTTACTACTACATGAACACCCCGAGTAGAAAATATCCGGTCAATGTTTATTCATTATTTCACATCGATTATGAATTTAAAGAAGGGATTGTTCTTCACATTTTTTATTTTTCAAACGTGAATAAAGACCATTTTACCATCTTTGTCTACTACCGAATGTCAGTGATCATTGAACGACGATTTTATTTCAAGATATCTAAGAAAGAAATCACTAGAAAATAAGCCATTTTATTGATACCATAGCCTTGAAACTTAAAGCGAAAAGTCGGTTAGGTGATTAGTTTTACTTCGCAATTCATCCTTACATGTCATTGTTTAAATTCATACATGTGAATTTAGTCGCGTAATTATAAAACGTGTCGGCCACATGGGTTCTTTCGATGCATATGGTCCGAATTCGCAAGCCTTAACGTTCTTCGACCCTGAAGAGAATGATTTAATTGGAGGAGATACACAGGGACCTGATTATGACTGCTCTGATTTCACTCTGCCTTCACAGTCTCAAACACAGGCATCTCAACTTGACCCTGATAAAAATTGCTTCTCTCAGCAGGTATGTTGGTACTATACTTAGTCTTATATGTTATCAGCATGATGGGTCCAATACCATTGACGTGCTGTCCCAACGTGTTGCTGACTTAGACTTCAAAGATGAGGACATAGATGACTCTAGTGTCGACTTACCAGAGCACGCATGTGCTTACTGCGGTATTCATGACCCTGCTTGTGTAGTATTTTGTAACACCACGAAGAAGTGGTTTTGCAATGGTCGAGGCAACACCTCAGGGAGGTTAGTCAATTACGTATATTATTTTGTTCAGTCATATCATCAATCATCTTGTTAGAGCTCGTGCGAAAGAAGTTACTTTGCACAAAGACGGACCTTTAAAAGATACTCTCTTGGAATGCTATGTATGTGGGTCAAAAAATGTTTTTCTGCTTGGTTTTGTGCCGGCGAAGTCAGAGTCTGTCGTCGTGCTTCTGTGCCGTAACATCTGTGCTAATGCCAACAAAGACATGTACTGGGATCCTGCTCAGTGGCAACCGATAATTCAAGGACGTCAGTTTCTTGCTTGGCTTGTGAAAGTTCCAAGTGATGAACAGCAAGCAAAAGCTCGTCAGATATCGGCTCAACAAATAAACCGACTGGAAGAAATATGGAAAGAAAATCCTCAGGCGGCAGTCGAGGATCTAGAGAAACCCGGTGCAGATAACGAAGTCAACCCAGTATTGTTAAGGTAAGCTTTACCCCCGAGCTCCTCATCTCTTAAAGATATGAAAATTCACAGCAGTATCGAGATGTATTCATACCTTTAGTGGAATTAGAGGCTGACTACGACAAAAAGATAAAAGAATCGCTGAAGTTGGAGAATGTTTCCGTTCGTTGGGAGACTGCCCTTAACAAACGCCGAGTGGCTTACTTCCGGATTCCAGGTGCTAACGAAGGTACATAAATTATTATATTTCAAGTTTTCTCATACATTACACCTGGATTTTTAAGTTCTCAGTCATGTATATAATTTTTTTTTAAAATAGCTTGCAGATAAAACTACAGGTTTTTCAGTATCATACTGAAAATACATGGCAACGAAATCTTCGGGTCCGTACAGTGAATCGCTCTTATGTTATAACGTTGTCCTTATGATTTCAGAGCATTTCATGAAGCTAGTTTTGTAGAATAAAGTGAATGCTTACTATAATCTGTAAATCTTCCACACTAACTTTTGCCGTTAGAGATTATCCGATTGGTTCGTGTATGCATTCCTTTAACGTATTTACTTTATGTGCTGAGTGATATTTGCATATGATTTTGATATATCTTCACTAATACATCGTATTATTTTCTAGGCCCAGAACTACGTATTATGCATGGGGATGAGTTGATCATTCGTCAATTTAACAGTCCAAACGATTATTTGGTTGGTGACGGTCATGTTATCAAAGTGCCTGACAGTAAGTTTGTGCATCATATGACATATATATACGAACTTTATACAGGTGTATATTACCATTTGCATAGTCATTTTATGTGCCTAACCGTACTTCAGATTTTATTCGTATTTCTCCTGAAGATATGCTTCAAGTAACAAGTTAGTGAGCATGGCAATAATTTATGTTGTGTGTAAATAAACTAGTCATCAGGTGTTTTAATCATTCGATGACAGTGAAATTGGAATATTACAGAGAAAGCTAGTATGGCTTTTGCGCAAGGATGACACGGGGGAACCTGAACTTCCTCTTGTATAGTTCTCAGTAGCGGAAATGCATTCACTGTTTTTCCTTAGGTCCTACGTTTCTAAATACCTTCCAAATTTTCTTGTTTTACTTATCCATATTTTATCGAATTGTATCTTCGATGGCCATTTCTGTTCCCACTAATACTGTTACAGCCTCTACCAAATTTGCCCTAACAATTTCATCTCTCTGTGCTAATGGGGTATAACGACTTATACTGGTGTACGTATTTACCAAGTTCTATGTTACGTATAAATAGCTAACTAAATTCTATCATTTTGTTGATATCTGCGTGAATTTAGATGATAGAGTGGCTTGAATAGATTTAAATATCTTCTAAAAAATGTCTCACTTGTTCTGAGCTAATGCAATTAGTTTTTATTTAAAATACCTTCAAAAAATCATACTACCAAACATCAAATTTAAGTTCACTCACACACGTGTTTGGCACTAATTGCCATTTCCAAAATAATGTTGAGGTATCCATTTCATATCATCACTACGTTCTGCTGTTATCAAAAGAAAATTCTTGTGTCAATTAAATATTGGACTGGTCAAATTGTGGATGAGCATCTCTTCCTTTTGTAAGACTACTCTTCCCATGGCAGATCGAAAACGATAATTGTCTGTAAGCTTTTTCGTAGGTTGTTACTATCTTAGTACCTATTAATAACTTGTGGGCGATAGTGGTCACAATAACTCACAAAGTTGCCTGACGATTCTCGTGGGGTTTACCAAAATATACTTAGAAGCAAAGATTCATTTTTATTTGACTAGTTTCAGTGCCGTTTATTTGTAGATGTAGGTGAGGTATGGCTATATAAAGCGATTCTACTTTATGGCTGCAAAACATTACCTTTTAGGGTAGGTACTTGTGATCTATTAGTATTTGATGACATATTGCTCGCATCTGCTGGAATCACCGGGTAAGTAATAGTGAGGATAGACACAGGGTATTACGGAATGATGATGAATCAGTCTATGAACTTGTGAATCTTCATCAACTGAGATGGTTAGGCCATGTGTCGCGTATGCCTGAACACCGTTTACCACGGCGCAAAAAGCTGACTAGTGTTGAAGACGGTTGAAAGAAAGTTATGGTTGACTAAATCAAAGTGCGGTATCAGCTCTTGAAGTCACTAACTTCTGGTCTAAACCATGTTGGTAGATGCAGACTACTTGGTTGGAGACTGATATGGCTCAGAATCGACCACAATGGCGTAGGTGTATACACCTTGTCTAGCCTTAGACCGTAAAATTAGAATTACGAACTAATTCTCCTTATATGCAATCTTTCTTTTATATATTACTATCATTAAAGTAACTATGAATTTGTTCATCTTGTGCTAATGAGGTTTGGCAACTTGGACCGATGCACATATGTGCCTGGTCCTACGTTGTAGCTGACTGACTTAAACCGATGTACATACGTACCAGATTCTACCTTATGACTGGCTGTGATGTGGATGCCAGTATATTACGGCATTGCAATCCCAGCCTCTGCCATGGAAGTCCTACCCACTGCCTTCTCGTGGCGGGGTTGTTGTTTACGAAATTGAGAGGACGAAAAGTGAATGCTTGAGATTATTGATAGCCTTTTCAACCGTACAGAGTTGGAGGACTTACATCATAGAACAAACAATACGCTAACAATATAGAAATACAGATTATATGAACTTATATTGTTAAGCTAGGTACATGTATATTGTAATATGAAAAATAAGTGTTACATAATTTCGTATAATATCTTAATTATATATATATAATTAATTAGCCCCCAAATGCCCTGGTACGGCCGAGAGTGGGGAGAGTCCGCTCTCCCTCTCGAAATGCTCTCACACGGCCATGCGTATACAGCTCCGGCCAGGGAAGTCCTACTCACTGCCTTCTCGTGAAGGGGGTGTTGTTTACGAAAATGAGAGGACGAAAAGCGAATGTCCGGCGCTTTGACCGGATCCCAAACCAGTGGTGCACATGGGCACCAGTATCCTGCGGGAACAAATGGCGTATAAACCAATTTTCGGTCACCAGCTACCATGGAACTGCATCTCCTTACGATGCTCCACTGCCTTGTGGGTTAGACCTTTAGGTCAAAGGCTCGGGGTGTGGCCCCCTAAGATAACCACCTGCTTCGGTCTAGGCACCCGGGCAGTAACGCAGCCCACACGCAATTAATGAACTGAAATTGTGTGGCGCATATATGTTTGGCGCACTCCTGTACCAATATATATGTGTTCAAATAAATAAATAAATAAAATAATCTTTTATCAAGTGATTAAAAACTGGGTCTAGATCGCAGACCCTAATAGTCTCATCTTGATTTTGATCGGTTTCAGACGTGGTCGTTTTTCACCGTTCCTAAAATGAGGTTTTTGATGCGACTGAATTATGTTTCATTTTATTGTGCTATTCTAATAAGACAAAAATATGAAGTGGATTTCGCTTATGTACTTTTCATCTCTTCAATAAATTTTACTACAAGGTGATGCTTCATATTTTCTCCTTAGATTTCAGTGATGAAGTTGGTTTGGAAATGAAGCAAGTCATTGATACACCTCTAGAACCTGTGACGTACAAAATCGAATTTAAATGGAAGTCAACTCCATTCGATAGAATGAGACGAGCGATTTCTGTCGTTACCGACGAACAACACGGTTTATTACCACCATATATATTCTACCGATTGCTTGGCCAAGAATTAGATGATATGGTGTTAAAGTGCAACTTACCTAAACGCTATTCTGCACCAGACTTACCGGAGCTAAATCACAGTCAAGTGTTTGCCGTCAAAACAGTTCTCCAACGTCCACTTAGTCTAATACAGGGTCCACCCGGAACGGGTAAAACTGTGACGTCTGCATCAATAGTTTATCACTTGAACCAAATACATCAAAAAAAGGTATTGGTTGTAGCTCCTAGCAACACTGCAGTCGACCAGTTGTGCGAAAAGATTGACCGTACCGGATTAAAAGTTGTGCGCCTATGTGCAAGATCTAGAGAAGCTCTAGCATCTCCTGTCAGCCGTCTTATGCTACACATACAGGCCCAAAATGTGAAAGGTCATACTGAACTCCGAAAGTTACAACAATTGAAAGATGAGACTGGTGAACTGAGTCAGGATGATGATAAACGTTATCGAGTTCTAAAACGGGAACTTGAACGTAAGTTACGAGTTTTAACAAAACTTTTATACTATGTGTGAACTGTAGGGGCTGAAAATACTGATTATCACGATTAGTTCCTTTTGTAAAAGCGCTAATAAAGTTAAAAAATATTTGGTCACATTAAAGACCTATATATATATATATATCGTCAGAAAGATTTTGTGGAGATTGTAGTAATTTAATAGTTCAATTCACTAGTCGATTAAAGCTAGAACACCATGGAAAACCTGGAAGCACTAAAAGTCGTCCCGTCCTAGTGTGGGACTCCTTGACAGTGTGCATTCACGACCCGTCCTCCAGCGCTCCCAGGTTTTCCATGGTGCTCTAGCTTTAATCGACTCATGAATTCAACTATTAAAATGTATGATTATTGTTTATTTGCTTTTTATTTACTTAAACACATGAACATAGGCGCAACGAGGTACCAAAACAGATATGCGCCACGTAAACCATTCGATTTGTGTGAGATCTGTGGCACTGCTCGGGTGCCCAGATCGTAGCAGATGGTTTTCTTAGCAGGCCCACGCCCCGAGCCTTCGACTTAAAGGCCTGACCCATTAGACGGTGGAGCAACTTCAAGGGATACAGTCTCATGGCAACCGGTGACCACTAATAGGTTCAAACGCCATTTGTTCCCTCAGGATCCTGGAGTTCATGTACACCATTGGTTTGGAATCAGAGTTTTCCAACTTCTCTAGGTGGACCTTCCATACCCACCAACCTGGTTAGAGCGCCGGACATTGGTCTTTCGTCCTCTCAATTTCGTAAACAATAGTATGGTCGTGTGAGGGCAGTGAATGGGACTTTCCTGACAGTGGTTGTATGCACGTGGCCATGTGAGAGCGTTTCGAGAGGAAGAGCTGACTCTCCCCACTGTCGTCCGTACCAGAGCATTTGGGGGTTATAGTTATTGTTATTATTATTAACTGGTTATTTTCTATCAGAAAACACATTGGTATTGTCTGTGGCATTATGTAACCAAGCGTCACTTTCTGTATTTAGTTGTCTAATAAGTGTTCGGTTTTTCTCATCAGGGGAACTCCTTATGGCAGCTGATGTGGTTTGCTGTACATGTGTAACTGCTGGTGATGCACGTCTGGAGCGCTTAAGTTTTCATTCCGTTTTAATTGATGAGTCTACCCAGGCTACTGAACCAGAGTGTCTAATACCATTAATGGTAGGTTGTCGCCAGGTTGTTCTAGTTGGTGATCATTGTCAATTGGGACCTGTAATTACGTGTAAAAAAGCTGCTAGCGCCGGATTAACTCAGAGTTTGTTTGAGCGATTTGTTCTGCTGGGTATTCGACCTATACGTCTACAGGTACGTCAGATATTTTGAATCATGCATCTTCGTTGAAACAAACGCTTTTTTTGCACGTTTTAATTTCCGAATGTAGCAAAGTGGTCTTACCAAATGAAATAACCGTTTTTTCCACACAGTAGTCGTTTGCATTTTAAGTCAGTCAGCTACAACGTAGGACCAGGCACATATATGCATCGGTCCAAGTTGCCATACCTCATTAGCACAGCAAGATGAACACCGGATTCATAGTAGTTAAGTCAATGGTGGTAATATCTAAAAGAAAGATTGCATATAGTACAGGAAGAAAGAATTACTTCGTAGAAACAGAGATATGAAGCGATTTTAATCTCATAGTTTAAGGGGAGATAGAGAGTGTATACACCTACGCCATTGTGATCGATTCTAAGCCATGTCACACATAGTCTAAAATTATTGGTTACGATGGTCACGCGGACACCAACCAAGTAGTCTGCAACCAGAAGTTAGTGACTTCAAGCACTGATGCCACGATTTGGTTTGGTCGCCCCTAACCTTCCAACCATCTCCAACACCGGTTAGCATTGCACTTTGTGGTAATCGGTGTTCGGGCATACACAACACGTGACCCAACCATCTCAGTCGATGAAGATTAACAAACTCGTCAACTGATTTACCATCATTCCCTAATACTCTGCGTCTAACCTCACTATTACTTTTAAGATGGTAACCTGTCTCGATTCTGTATTGTATTTGAGTTTCCTAAGCTGCCGATATCTAATGGTATTACAGGCGCTTCATAAATTAAATAGTTGGACGATTTAAAACACCTGTAATAAGTTACAGTATTCATCCGAAGTCCTCGCTCGTTTCGAAAGGCAGTGTGTTTAATGTTGTCGCTGGAACTGAGATTGATGAGCTTAAGGATTCCGTAGGTTTACTGACCTGTTTTGGTTATCACGATTTTAATTCAACTAAGCCAATGAATATATCTAGCATTCTTTTCCACTCAATAGATATCGACATCCCCAAAACTTTAGCATATAATGTACTAAAGTGTAAGCAGTTAGATTAGATACTTGGGTTTCGTCCCGTTTATTTTGTTTTAGAAAGTCAGGCATCACTAGCTCTGACGCAAAAGCTTAACTGAGAGAAAATACATTCGACTGCTAAGTTCTGTCATCGTGCGTTTGCTCGTAATAATATATTATAAATTGGAATAAAGAATATAAAATACAGATCCTATAACTCATTGTTTCAATTAATTTCTACTTGACATCCAAGTAATATCGTAAAGAGCATATTCCAATCTGATTGTTTGGTACTTCCATTGTTAAGGTCCAGTATCGTATGCACCCCGCTCTTTCGGCCTTCCCAAGTAATGTTTTTTATGAAGGTAGTTTGCAAAATGGAGTGACAGCAGAGGATCGTTGCAAAAAGATCGATTTTCCATGGCCAAATCCAGACAGGCCTATGTTTTTCTACTGCACATCTGGACAGGAAGAAATATCCGGTAATGGTGTATCATACCTAAATCGAACAGAGGCAGCAACAGTTGAAAAAATCGTCACAAAGTGAGTTAACTTAAAGATTTTTAATTTGTACTTTTGTTACTTTCTATGAGACGTAAATTGTTTCCTATAAATTTAACTTATTTTGTTGTATTAAGAACGTTTATTGTCATCTCATTTTACTTGTGTGTGGGCTGTGATACTGCCCAGGGGCCACACCCGGAGCCTTCGACCTGATCCACAAGGTAGTGGAGCAACATAAGGAGATGCAGTCCTATGGTAGCCGGTGACCAACCATTGGTTTATACGCCATTTGCCCCTTCAGGATCCTAGAGTTCAGGTGCACCATTGGTTTGGAATCAGGGTTTTCCAACTCCCCTAGGTGGAGTCTCCATGTCCACCAACCCGGTTAAAGCGCTGGACATTGGCTTTTCGTCCTCTCAATTTCGTAAACACCCCCACCACGAGAAAATAGTGAGTAGAACGTTAGTAACCACTGGTTACCGATTTAGGCCAAAGTAACCTGTTTTTGCAATGAACTGAACCTGCTTTTGCTGTGAACTAGTTGTGGATTTTCATGCCCGTTGAATCAGCTAATACTGTTCACTATGTATTCTAAAATGATTGATAACCCATACGACATAAGGATTCGTTCCTCAAACTACCGATTAGGAAGATCATACAAGTATCTCGCACTATTTCATACTATTCAGACGTTAAATGATATATTTATTTACTTGAAATATAATAATAATAAAGCACGCCGTGAATATTAATATGAATAGTATGCATAAAACTAAAGTATTTGTGGCAAGCAATCGAGTAGTATGTCAGTAGCTAGATTGCTGTAACTTACGGATGGCAAATTTATTGTCATGGTTAATAATATCGAACAAAAGTTTAGATTTAGGATCATACAGAAATCAATTGTTTGATGAATAAATACATGTTACAAAATCACTAGAAAATAGCTTCTCAGGGTTTATACTTTTAAATGTTCACCTCTTGGCCACCCCTATTGTAGAAAATTTAGTTGTATAACCATGCCTAAGAGTTGATCCATGATCAATCTGGTTTGCATCGAGTTTTTCGTAATTTTAGTTTAGAATTCGCCGTTGTCCTTTGTATTTATAAAGCATCATTTTAAACATAATTCAGTATCACTCAATTAAAATGGCATAAAATACTGTCAAATATTTGTTTAGCTTTCATTTTACTGTTGGCACAGTTCCCATTAACTTAAGTTTGATGTCGCTTATCAGTGTTACAATCAGGTACTTAGTATATTTTAGTGTTCTTCAATTCTATTTGACCTCCACTTTAAATTAATTTAAACTTGCTAGCCACTAGCACATGTTTCAAGTATAAACTCTGCAATTTGTTTTTCTAATTTTATTTGTTTTACAGGATGCTGAAAATAGGTGTTCATCCGAATACTATCGGAGTAATCACACCTTATGAGGGACAACGTGCATACTTAGCACATTATCTTCATTATTCTGGTTCCTTAAATGCCAAATTGTACCAAGAAATCGAAATCGCTAGCGTGGATGCCTTCCAGGGGCGAGAAAAGGATTATATCATCTTGTCCTGTGTCCGAGCAAATGAAAATCAAGGTATTGGTTTTCTCAATGATCCACGCCGTTTGAATGTTGCTCTCACTCGTGCTCGTTACGGATTAATAGTAGTTGGAAATCCAAAGGCTTTGTGCAAGGTAATGTTTTTATTTTTTGCAGTGTATCATGAGTATATTGAATTTATCTTGATAATTGGTGTTTTGGACTAGACCATTCATTGTCCTAGTGGATAATATACTTCGCAGGATTTATTTTTTAAGAAAATACACAAATCCTACAAACTTTGCACATCAACTTTAAATCATTTGTACATAAGTCTGAAATCCTGTAGGCAATTTAACGTACGAATATGTGATTCATTAAACTTTATGGTTGTAACGTTCACCGTATTGTAGAATTCATTTGCAGTGTAAGTTAACTTCATATGAATCCTTGTCTTTCATTCTGACATGAATATTTTACTTTTCAGCAACCACTTTGGAACCAGCTGCTACACTTTTATCGTGATCAGCATTTACTCGTGGAGGGACCCTTAAACAATCTAGGTGAATACATGTTACAGTTTCCTAGACCCAAAGTTCCGTACACTTTCAAACCTGGTGGGCATTATCTAGCGCAGCTATCCGCAAATCCCGCATTATTAAATAGCAGTCAGTTAAATGGGCAATTGAATACACACCCCGGAAATCAATTTAATTATCTTTCTCATGTTTCAAATCCGTCTCAACCATGTTTTGATAATCCTAATGGACCAACAGCCTTAGTAGCAGCTATGGCGGCAGCGGCTGCTGCGGCTTACTTTGGAGGATCTGGTTCAAATACGCGCCCGAATGTCTCAACCTTAGGATTACATGGGTCGTCAGCACTCAACCAACCTGGAGCAAGCCATGCTGCAGCTTATGCTGTTGCGGCTGCTGCAGCTGCTCAACATCAATCAAGTCAACCGTATTCTAGTCAAACAAATGGTAGTTCTCATAGTATGCATCAACTATTAAACCAGTCATTATTCGACCAGGTTGGGTATATAGGACCAAATCGACAATATGCAGAAGCCAACGCTAGTTCAAGTAAGTAATTCATTGAGTAATATATATACATCACCTCAGTTTCCTGTCGATCGCAAATAGAAGTTCTAGTAAAATATTTTTCGACGATTTTTACTGATATGAAGGCAACCAGTAAAGTGCAAAGTTTTCTGTGGAGTCCTCTGTATTCATAACTGTTTCATGTGATTTTCTGAAGTTTATTGTGAGGATTCTAGTGGTGGTGATGGTACTCAAGACGCATTTCAACAAGCTTGATATGGCCATCGAGACCTGTTCTTCATATTCCCGACCGAAGCTGCTACCTTGACGGGGTGGTCGGGCTTGCCTATCTTGATGACCCAACCGAGCTATATTGGCTGGAACATATGTTCCTGTAGGTTCTACCATGCCAGGCAGGTCGATTGGTGAACGGTAAGACTAAAAGCAGCAACTCAAGGTCTGAGGGCGAAGTCGTACTGCCGACTGTAGAGAGGTGTGACAGCAGTAAGGTGTTTCCCTCGGACAACCAGCATGACAGTGATGCTGCCTTCCCACAAGGAGGGGTGGGGTTAGAAAAGGTCGACCCTAAAAATGTCACACCTCACCTTACCTCACGGATTTCCGTCTCCGGCGGTAAGGCCCTTTGAAGAACAGAGCTAACACGTCAAAAACCTTCCACAAAAGGGCCGTGCGCGACCGGCCTCAAGCAGTTGTCCCTTGGGCTCTGCGGTCACGCTCCCAGGTCGTCAAGACCAACACTAATCCAATTTCCTTTTCAGGTTCCTCAAGAAATATCCTTCCACAATGTGGGCAGCCGAGAAGTGACATCAGCCCTCATACCCGTAACAGCACACGAGACCAAGTTGGTCACATTCAAATCCTTCCCACACCTAATACCTCTCTTATCTCCATGACTAACCCTCCTCACGTCTCTTTATCACCTCGCACCGCCAGGGCAAACGATTCGAGTACGTGGAACGCTATTCCTGGTCTTCTGAAACCACGCTCTAAACTGCACGTAGGAGTCTGTTTATACTCTTTCTACCACTACGGGATTTGGATCGACAACTGCATCTCTGTGCTAAGGTGGTGTGGCAACTCGAACTGATGTACGTACGTACAAAGTTCTATGTTGTTACTGGCTGACTGACTGTTCTTCATATAGGTTTACACTTAACAATCTTTAGATATTAAATATATGTAGGCTGTTTTATAATTTTTATTAGTAAAACACTAATCCAATAGTCATCTGACTGTTATAATTTTTCTTCATATCCTTTGAAATTCACTTGATATTTCACATTATTTTTTGATGATTACCTAGCTTATATTTCCATTTTTTCCAAGAAATATATGCTCTCTCAACGACAGCGTGATGTAAACTCGTATATACGAGGTCATGCATAATTAAGGGCATGTTTATCGTTCATATACTCGTTGAATTGTTGGCACTACACAGAAGAGGTTAAAATTTGAAAATTTTAGTTGCAAGTGTTAAAGCCAAAAAAACTCGTCCTTTGTAAGGATGACATCAAAGTGTTCTTATAAGATAGTTCCTAACAAAGTTTGTCACTACCACATTCTACTGTTGACTTCTTTTATCACTCGTTTTATCTAGATCTTCCTATGCCACTCAGCATGTTGATGCCTGCTGGTCGAATATCGAATCCTACCAACGCAGCAAATCCGTTTGCCTCTTCTGGTCATTTTGGCAATGGAAAGTATGGCACCAACCTTGGGGCAGCTGCGCCACTTGGTAGATCAATACAAGCTTTGGGTCCACTAAACGTGCATCCCAACTACTCACAACTAAATACGGGAAGTACGAGAGCACCCGGCGGTCCTCTTCCTGGAAATAACGTGGTTGGTTCTGCAGCTCCTCGGTATCTTGGAAATGCACGTCGAAATGTACAAGCTAGTTCACAAAATGCTTCGGTTGGCGCTTCAAAGTCACGTCAAATTGATGGGCCCAGTAGTCTTACCAACATTTCTGTGGAACGCGGTAATACTAATACTTCCAACTCAGGTGCTGGTCTACTTTCTCAGCCTGGTTTGTCAGAATTTTCTGGAACTCAAGGCACATCTGGTCTTAGTAACATGGGTGTATTCAGTAGTCAGTCGCGTAATTCGGGACTTTCCGGTTTATCTCAGGTAGTTTAATCTTTGATACTCACATTAGGTTTTACCGATATACATGGTTTTTAGTCATAAGGATATTAGTTTCGTAGATCTTTGTGAATAGTTATGTATTTCTGCTAACTTTTATTTCCTGTTCTTTTAAAGGACAAGTTAGTAGGTTATTTCCTTAACCCCAATGCAAACCTTCGTAATTCTTTGTTGAGAAAATATCATAGGTATCCGGATTTGCTAACGCTTTTGCGCAGTGCATTTGCGCCTTTAATGTTTTGTATCGGTTCACTATCAATCCATGTCCGTTTCTCGGTTTCCTTAGGGGTATTCATTGTCCATATGCAGATAAAATTTTTAATATTCATTTATTGATGCTAGTTTATTACAAATTCACTTAATACACTGACTAATCACCGACATAAAAGCCTTAAAACAATTATATAAGTTATTTCATTGGTGCTTTCTATTTAAAGTCGAATATCAAAACTCTAATTTATGTTTCTAGGAGAGCACTTCGTTGGACTTTCGTCTTGGTCAGGGTGCCAGTCAAATGGACAACTTGCTTCTTTCTCAAGATTCTACATTTCAAGGTGCAACTGTACCTGCGAGCAAAGTAAATCCACAAAGGGGATCAAATTTGTTCGCTACCGGAAGCGAGGATCATACCAACATAAATTTCGATTCTGGACTGGTTAATGGGACCGATTTAGAAAATATTGGTGTCTCTCAAAACGCAGTCAGCTGTGCGAGCAGTGGTGCACCGCTCTCGCAGTTTTAGGGATCTCATCCGGCTTAACTTTGGGCCGCGTATCAATGATCATCAACGAACATATAGTTTCTCAAGGGTGTCTGTCTACAGGCATCTGCAGCGACGACGGAATAAATCGATTATTCGGAGTGCATCACTTGGAAGTACAAAAAATTTAAAAACCAACATGCACTCCGAAGGTTGCACTACTTGTTTTTAACCTCCTGACTATACTAATTCGTATTAATATTTGGTTACAAGGTGTTTACTTTCGTTATAAACTCCTCAATATACAAAGTTTTTATTCTACTAATAACCTGGTTGCCTTTCAAAAGAGGGACAATGTGATGACGTTTGTAGCTTCTATTTAAGACTAGAATGTTTTGTCGGTTCGTACAACGCGTTGTTCCAACCCCGTCCTCCTGTAATTCGAACGCATTTTCAGATATAAATTCTTCATTTCTTCGAAAAACTGAGGGTCTTGTAGGCTGAAATCATGAATTTTTTTAAAAATTTTCTTACTATCTTTTGTTGCACTCTAAAGCCTTATGAAAGTCCGTCTTGCAAATGTACATTGCTGCCCAGTAGTATTTTTGTGTACAGTTTGACCATTCTGAAAACATGGAATGCTCAGTAGTGAATAATACTTACCGTCCCAAAGCTTCGCGCATTGTTTCGTTCTCAATCTGTCTTGCATAAGCGCCGGTATAATGCTCTCCTCTTCAACCTTCGTGATTTCTTTACTTTCAGGGTCACCTGCAGAAGGGTTGAAGAGTCAAAGTTTCAGCAACTAGCTTAAGATTCGAAATTGCAACTAAAATACAGTAATACCTGATACAAATTACTAGAACAGAATTCAATTCAGCGAGACGAAATTTAAGACAGGTATACAGCGGTGTGTTACCCTTTTTGCATCTACCACTAGGATCAGATCGAAAGTGAATGTGTCGGAAATACCTTATCGGTGTCGTTGAGTAATCGCTAATGTATAGTGTGACCGCCTGATGAACAAAGTTGTAGTTAAATTTAGACTAATAAGTAATGGTTGCAACTCAGTTGGAAGGATAATTTAATCGAGTGGATTTGTTTCGTTAGAGATGAATAAAACCAGGACAGCCGAACCTTGGATTTACCGACTGTAGATCTGAACTATGGATGAGTGTTTCGGTAGAAGAATGATGCAGTCGAAGATTGGTTCTTATGCTTCAATACATGTTTTTTAGGTCTTAAATATTGTGTTGCCCTGGTTGGCTTCATATTAACCATTAAAGATTTCCTCGTTTTGAATCATGCGTCTCATCTTAGTTTCAAAATCACATATACCCACTCTTGTTACGCACAAAAAACAAAGTATGTAATCTTGTGTATGAATTTTATTTCCGACTTACCTAGGCCCAATGGGCCGCTTATTTCTTCTGATGGGATCAAGGTAAATTCTACACTTTGACGTTTGGAGAAAAAGGTACCCATTTCCAGCAGTCGTCTGTTTTACTTCCTGAAAACTGTGGGATATAAGGCAGCTATGGTTCGAAACTGCAGCACTTTGTTACCATCAAATCTATCGGAAATAGACAAACATACTAAAAACTTCAGCAACTCTTAGAAGCTGTAGATGTTGTGTTTTTGCATGCAAGTCTGAACCCAGAGTTAGTGCGCTTGCACAAGTCACTCAGGATTAAGGGGGGTTGCAATCTCTAACAAGATTCATCTCTTACCTGAGGTCTTCAGTCAGCTGACTGACTGAGGTCTTCAACTTGTTCACCTGGTTTAACAATGACGCATGTGAAAATCAAGCGAACAAACTTTTAGTGTAAATATTAGAAACTACGAGGCTGGTGGGTGCTTTTTTCATACCAATGTGTAGCCTATAGTTCTTATGGATGGATGGTGTGGTTTGATGATGGGAAAATTAGTGCACTGCTGTGAAGCACCTGGTAAGGTGCCGCATATTAAAGGCGGAAAATCTGCAAATTGCCGGATCTCTGTATAAGCGGGACAAAATGTTTTCTGTAGTTCGCCGATAAAAGGCAAGAACAGATCCCAAGTGTTTTCCATGGAACCCAGCACTTATTGGAGTGCCGTTACAATTCCTCTACTTTTTATACATTAAGACCGCAGCCCAACCCTCTGCGTTTTAAGAGGGACATCTATTAAGTTGAGTTTACCATAATGTGCACAACTCTATTACACTGAGCAGACAACTTGACGTTTTTTTCTGGGCTTGGTCCTTCATCAAGAGGAGGGTCATGAGTGAAGACCATTCCGAGGTAAGTAACCACGGCATCTGCCTAGTCTTCCTTTACACTTGAGATGCACTCCTTTTAGTTATTTATTTGGGAACCCATGGGCGTGTTCTTGTCCTTTGTATAATGTATGAGGATAATCGTCTCAACTATCTGGTCACAGGTTGTGCCAATTGGCTTTTAGACTTCCGCTGGGCTGCACGGACTGTGTTAATACACTTACCTCAGGTTCACTTGTAACGCTCCGACAATTTCGCTTTTATTTTAGTAAACGTCGGACCTGACGGTCTAACTGCGAGCAGTTGTATTTTTTGATTTTTTGGGAATGTCCAGGATATAAACGGTTGAGTTACTTGGATGTATAACTGCCGTAATTGCTCCATGCCTCTTCCCTTTGATGCATCCGATTCGATTTTCCCATGGTTCGAGCTCACAGAGTTCATCGTCTTTATGCTTGAAAAACCACAGCAGCAATGAACCTGACTAGGACAATCGCATGACCACTCCTTCTTATAGGTGAAAAGTACTAACATCATCATCGTGAGTCAGAAATTAATCCAGGACAGAAGAGTGCTTCAGATCATATCTAGTGGGACTAAAGCTAGGGCAGTTTTTTATCAAACGATGTTCTCAATGACCTTATGCAGTGGTAGGGGGGCATTGAAGTCGCCTGCTATAAGACTTCGGCAATCGGTTTGATCAGGATGTATGTATGAACATCGGTTCAAGTTGCCACACCCGTTAGCACACTTAGATGAAATTGTCTAGCAAAGTCCCATAATAGTAGAGGTAGTAACAGAAAACACTAGCCATCGAATAAACAACTTGGAAAGAAAATATTAATCAGTGGAAAGCATTAAGAGGAGTTTACAATCCCAGGATTTACGAGAAGGGAAAATATGGGTGCACCTGCCCTATTACGAACGATTTTTAGCCATGTAATTCAGACTAATCACTGGTTACAATAATAACACAGAACCCAACCAAATAGTCTATACCTAATAACATGGTCAAGTCCAACTGTCAGTGACTTCATGGACTGGTGTCACGTTTTTGTTTGGCCGCCCCAAACTTTCTTCCATACTAATCCTGCACTACGAAACATTGCCCGTCAAGGTAGATGGTGGTTGGGCATACGCAGCACATGTCCCAACCACTTCAGTTAATAGAGATTTCCTTGGCTAAAACCATAGAATCTCGCACCATTGGTGTATGCTGTGTCTCTGAAACACGCATACAGGATCCTAGTGTGGTCATTCACTTGACATCACCTCAGCAAAATGGAGAGCCGACGAGATACACCCTCCGTGTATCTGGTGTCCCGGTGGCCAGTTCTCGTGGACTGGCAGGTGTAGGCATAGCACTAAGCATGATGGCGGAACAAACACTGTTAGAGTGGTTTCCCGTTAACAGTCGTTTATGTGCTGTTCGGCTAAAAGGCTCCGTAAGAACTCGGAAGTATAGGGACACACGTCGTTGCTTTTTTATCGTTTCTGCCAGACTACAGCTCGGATGAAGTGAAAGAAGAATTTTACATAAAGCTATCTGAACTACTTCAGAAAGCTAAACGGTCAGACATAGCACTCGTAGCAGGTGACTTTAATGCTCAGATAGGTAGCTTAAACCAAACAAAAAGGCATTTAGGTGGGTATTTTAGCATTCCGGCACAGCGAACAGATAATAGTGGTCGTCTGAAGCAACTGTGCTCAGACAATCGTTTATTTTTAGCAAACTTAAATTTTAAGCATAAGGAGATACATCGTCTAACATTGCGACCCCCTACACCAAACCAACGATGGACTCAAATAGACATATTGCCATCAGTCATCGTTGGAGAGGGTCGGTAGAAGATTGTCACTCATTCTGGAGTACCTGCTTGAACTCCGACCATGCCATAATACGGGCACGCATCTGCTTGCGCCTCATTGGACGCAAAAAAGCCTCAGTAAAAAGACCTATTAGGACTTGATTGAGTAACCAGAAAACCATAAGTAGGTTCCAGGAACAAATGAGGTCACAATTAGGTAGTTCTGAATACGAGGTTGACCCAGATGTTGCTTGGAAAAATATACAAGCAGCTGCGGAAACAGCAGTGAGATCTATTAGTGATTTAAACCACAGGGTTACAAAAACCCAATGGATTTCTTCAAGATCTTTTGCACTGGTAGATTCTCGCAAACTCATCCCATCAGGTTCTGCACACGATGAAGGTCTGATCCACAAGGTAGTGGAGCAACATAAGGAGATGCAGTCCTATGGTAGCCGGTGACCAACCATTGGTTTATACGCCATTTGCCCCTTCAGGATCCTAGAGTTCAGGTGCACCATTGGTTTGGAATCAGGGTTTTCCAACTCCCCTAGGTGGAGTCTCCATGTCCACCAACCCGGTTAAAGCGCTAGACATTGGCTTTTCGTCCTCTCAATTTCGTAAACAACGCCGCCGCGAGAAGGCAGTGAGTAGGACTTCCCTCGCAGAGGCTATATACGCGTGGCCATGTGAGAGCATTTCGAGAGAGAGCGAACTCTCCCCACTCTCGGTCGTACCAGGGCATTCGGGGGCCAATGAAGCCTACTGAATACATGCTGAGATCTCGTCAGACACCGGACTGATCAGACCACCGACATCAGTGAAGTGTTCAACTACTTCACTCCCTATCACTAATTCAGGCGATGGTGTAAACCAATCCCGAAGTGACATTTTATATTTGGAGAGAGACGCACGCAATCATGCTTGGATTGTTGTTTAAGATTTGCATTTTTTCAGCGTCTTAACAAAACAGAACTATATCATCTGCACATTCCAAGTCAAAAATTAAATCTCGTGGTAGAAGATCAAGCCCTGGAAAGTCAAACAATGAAAATGTGATCTCTGAATGCATGTCTATGACAGCGTTAAATAAAAATAAAGAGGATAACCTTGAAGTAACCAATTCCGATGACAGTTCGCCATTAAGCTCTGGCTCGACCATTAGTGTTTGAGTAGGGTGTCTGCACAAGGTTAATGTACTTCTTGGGTACACCTTTCAATACCAGACACTGCCACAGAACCTCATGATCAACAGCGTCGAACGCCACCTTTAGGTCAATGAACATAGTTTGCCATTCAAGTTGCTTGGAGATAGTGGGTAACTGAAGTATAGCTGAAACCCAGTTGAACTGTTCCCTAAAGTGTTCTGCCCATCGGTTGATCGAGAGTGAAAAATGGTCCCTCCTTTTTCCGAGATAGTTTCACTAACAGCCGGATTTTTAATACCCGTTTCTTTGATAAGTCTGAACAGTTGTTTACTGTTACCTACTGCTGCTGTGTTCTTCATCTCTTCTGCTTTCGCTAACCACTACTGCTCACGATCATTGCGTAGGCATTTTATCAGTTTACGTTCTAGCTGCCTTTGCTCCTGATCATGCTCAGAGCAAGACAGGATGAGTTTCCGAGCATTTAACGGTTCTGTATACGCCACTGAAATTCACTGATTTTTCCTAACCTTTTGGTTTAAGTTGCTGGCAGATATCACTGCTGTTTTTATAGCCTTTTGGATATCATACGGAGCTATTTCGGAGTAAATATCATTTTCACGGTTGACGAGCTCTTTCTTTAGTTGTTCCTAAAATACATCCTTTTCCATCGTTAAGTTGAACTCTAAAAGATTTTCTATCTGTGGCTGTTTGATATCCAGTAAGACGCCGACAAACAGTACTCGAGCTAGAGCATGATCCGAGTCTGACCACGTGTTCCAGAATGAGTAACAGTCTACAATCGAGCCTCTCCAACGATGGCTAGTGAACATGTGATCAGTTTGAGTCAACTGATGGGTTGATTATGGTGATCGCCACGTCAGATGATGTTTCGCCTTATGTGTAACGTTGGTATTTGCCAGATATATTTATTTATTTGAACACATAAATACTGGTACAGTGACACCAGATACATAAGCGCCGCACAATAACAATCAGAATATGAAGAGATAGAGAATGTAAGGTGCATATAAGAAAAAGGGGAACACTAACGAACAGAAATTAGTGTATGATAGTGAAATGATAATCGGAGAATCAGTTCAGTCAGCAAAGTTACAAGCGGAAAGAAATCTTCCAGTTAAAGAATTTACTTCCACTTTTTATGAAGTAAAATAACGTTACAGCAGGATTGCCACTGGCTTTTATTGAGCCATATCTGATAACGTCTTAAGCCATTGTATTATACTATCTCTAGGACCCCAACCAGAGAGTCGT